CTCTGTGGGCACGCGTGCCATCGCCCCAGCCAGGTCCAGACCATCATTAAAGTGTCGAATTCTCTGCCAAATAAGCATTTGAGATTGCTTTCCTTACTTTGTTAGGATCATTCTTAAGTTAATGTATGAGTTGTTTTTTCTAAAGTAAAACCTCAGTATTCAGGTTAAATTGCCGTGTTGGCACTTTGCGATAAATAAGTGGGTTTTGGGTCGCAGTTTGGGCGCTCGGTCCCTAAAAGGTTCGCCATCACTGGCGTGGGAGGTCTGCTGTGGAAATGGTGGTGGCCCGTTTTGATTGTGGATCAGCTTGTGGGGAGTGGTGCCTCCTGGCCGTTGTAAGTGAAGTAGCAGCGCGTCAGTAAATGCTAGCATGCCCCGTATAATGACATGTTGTTTATTTCTAAGCTTTATAACCCGCTTTCCTACACTTAGGTCCAAGGCAGCTTACAAATATGTTTTATTTTTTTTAAGTTTTTCCTCCCAATCCCAATAGTAGAGGGCTTCTATACACATAGGTAATTCCTCTTAAAACTTTAAACTTCCTTGCCCTGTGCCCGAGATCCATCCAAGGCAGCTTACAAATATGTTTTATTTCTTAAAAGTTTTTCCTCCCAATCCCAATAGTAGGGGGCTTCCATACACATAGGTAATTCCTCTTAAAACTGTAAACTCCCTTGCCCTGTGCCCGAGATCCGGGTTGGAGGGGCCTTGGAAACCGCCCCTCAGCAAAGTCTTTAGTGTTCCCTCATTTCTTTCCCACAGCTGTTTAGTTGGGTGGCAGTTAGAATTCCTTCAGGAAGGGCTAGATGGAATTGTCCTCCTGCTTCACCACGGTCATTGCTGACTTGGCCTCGGTAATGGCGGCAGGGCCAAAGGGCAAGCCTTTCCCAACTTCCATCTGCTGCTGAGCAACCCAAGAGTTGAATAGGCAGGAGCTCACAGGAGCGGAGCTCCGGCAGTAAAGAGCCCAGGGGAGAGGAACATGCAACAAGCCCTGCCCCCTGCTCCCAGCAGCCCTCAGTCAGAGCAAGAAGCAGCCAGGTAAATTGCAGAGCTCCCCCTGGTCCAAAACAGTCCAGTGGCACTTTTAAGACCAGGTTTTATTCAGGCACAAGCTCTCCGCGAGGACAGATCTGCATGCCCCCCCCCAATAGCTAGCAATCCAAAACAGTCCAGTGGAGCCTGAGTGGTGGGTGTTGCCTTCTGACACACTTCCGGTGAAGGTAACAACAAACAGAGACCCGAGAGACTCATGGGGAGGGAATCCCATCCCCCATGTAGCTCGCTAACCCCTCCACCTTTCTCTGCTCTCCCTCAATCCAAAAGAGTCCAGCGAAGCCTGAGCGGTGGGTGTTGCCCTCTGACACACTTCCGGTGATGTCAGGGGGTGTGGTCTATGCAAATGAGTTATGCTAATGAGTTATGCTAATGAGCTCCTGCACCTCTTTTTCTACGAAAGGACCTCTGGGTGAAGGTAACAACAAACAGAGACCTGAGAGACTGATGGGGAGGGAATCCCATCCCCCACGTAGCTCGCTAACCTCTCCACCTTTGTCTGGTCTTCCGCCCCCCCACCTGAGAGAGACTTACGGGGGAGGAGGAATCGTACAAACGTCCCTCCATGTTGCTCTGGCCTCCTGTCTATCCCCCTCCCCACCACTCTGCCCACCCAGCTGTGGAGAGCAGGGGAGGCTCTCTTTCCTCTGCTCATGTGTAGCACTGCCACTCCCAGTCTCTCTGCGGGTGCATTGTCTGCGCTTGCACAAGCAAGACTTTTTTGGAGGGATTTCCCCCCCTCCATTTTTTGGATTTATTGATTTATTGGATCTCTACCCCATCCCCCAGCCAAAGCTGGCTCAGGGCAGCTTACATAAAAAGAGGTAAATTACATAAAATAAATGTTACATTAAAACATGAATTACACTTAAAACAATGCAACCTTAAAAGTGCTAGTAGTTGTTGTCATCAGTTCGGTGGTGGCAGCCATTATTCAATGTTTTTAAGCTCACAGTCGGCTCACCGTCTTCATTTTTGATTGCCCTTGCAGGGATTGATGTCTTTTAGGCTGTCCTTTGGGATCTGTCTGCAAACCTGGGGAGGGTCCCCCAAATTTGCCGAAACATCTCCCCTTGTAGCTGTTTATAATGGAAGGGAGAGTATAGAAATGGGCAACATACCAAATTATTCTTTGAAATAGCAGAAACCCTGACCTGTTATGGTAGAGATGGATTAATACCTGGAAAGAATGGCTTAAAACATCTAATACATTAGTACACATGTTACCTGGGGATGGAGGTTATATCTTCTTGCTGGAAGAGGCCACTTAAGTGCTCTCCAGCCTGGTGATTTAGCATACTGTCTGTGATATCACACCAATATCCAGAGCATTTATCGAAAGTACTCTCGGTTCTGTTCCCAGGAAACAGGATCAATAATAGAATACCAAAGTGAGTGAAGTGTCTGTTGCAACATGAACATTTAAATACTTTTGTTATCTTCATCACTTGGAGTATTGGAGTTTTTGTTAGGTGTACCTACCCAGAGGTCAGGGCAGAGGAGGTTTTAACTGTGTGTTGCATTCCTGTTTTAATATTAACGAATTGCAAGTTAGGATAATTTATCCTGTTTGGTAGGAAGACAAAGATGGTCTGTATTATCAGCAAAGAGTCTAGTGCTACCTTAAAGACAGGCATATTTACTCTGGCAAAATCCTTTGTGAGCTCAAACCCATATCTCCGTGAAGAAAAATAGTTGCCCAGGTAGGGATCCTGCTGCTAAACAGTTGCCCAAATCATGCTAGATAGATGACGCAGTCTCATTCCTGAGGCAACATAATCTTTTCCTTCACCACATGATTCGGTGCGTCCTTCTGTTGTTAGTGGAGTGATAAAATGCATCTTTAGTGTAATCCGTCTTCACCATTTAAAAAAATGTGCAGTAGTACAAAATAATCTGCTGTCACTCCAGGTGGTGGAAACTGACCAAAGTCGGCATATTTCTGCTTTATTCTTTCAGAACTGATTCCGTTTTTAAGGTTGTGGTTTAAGCATTTTAACACATTTCTCCAGTGGCGAGCCAGTGTGGTCCAGTGGTTCCCCACTCTACCGTGACGCTCACTGGATGACCTTAGGACCAGTTACACATATAGACTCTTGCCTGTCCAGTCATGCATGTTATTTTGAGGATAAAGTGAGACCTTTCTGGCCAAAGGGTCAACACATAATGGACAACATTCTCAACTACCTCTTAGATATCTAGGCTTAGTGCGAGGGTCCTGATCAGGGGTCATTTCGTAGAAAAAGAGGTGCAGGAGCTCATTAGCATAACTCATTAGCATAACTTATTTGCATATGCCACACCCCCTGACATCACCAGAAGTGTGTCAGAAGGCAACAGCCACCGCTCAGGCTCCACTGGACTGTTTTGGATTGCTAGCTATGGGGGGTGGGAACCTGCAGATCTGTCCTCGCAGAGGTGGGAGAGCTTGTACCTGAGTAAACCTTGGTCTTAAAGGTGCCACTGGACTGTTTTGGATTGCTAGCTATGGAGGTGTGGGGTGGGGGCGGGGGGGGGGGGGGGGGGCTCTGCAACTTACCTGGCTGCTTCTTGCTCCTCGTGCCCTGATTGAGGGCTGCTGGGCGCAGGGGGTGGGGCTTGTTGCATGTGCCCGCCCCCTGGGCTCCTTACTGCCGGAGCTGCGCTCCAGTGCGCTCCTGCAGGAAATGACCCCTGGTCCTGATCCTTTATGAGCCTGCAAGCACTTTTGGAATTTTGTGAGGAAGTGGTGAGTGCTGCCCCCAAACGGCTGCTATAGGGGGCGGAGCCAAATGCAGTACCTCCCTCCCAGCTTTGTAGCCATGAGAGTAACCCTTTCATTTGAATAAGAGGAGCCAGTAACAACCCTACCTTACAGTGGCTCTGCCTATTTTCTGAAAAGCTTGGCAGACATCAGGTTAAGTACTGGCAGGCACCATAGCAGCCATCGGTGTCACTGTGGGGAACGCTGCTTCAGTGGGATCTTGGTACTATCTCCCATCCATGAACTGTGGAAACACTGGAATGGACTGTGTTTCTAAAGTAAAGCACCTGCTTTGCTTGCAGAAGTCCTAGGTTCAATCCTTAGCAACTCTGGCTAGTGCCAATCAAGATGAAATAGTGGCTATCCTCCGTGTAAGGATGTTTTGTATTGCTTCAAAATTTTAACAAGCTGTATGTATTGCTTCAGAATTAAGGCCTGTAAAACCCTTTTTAACAACAAATGCCTAGTATGGTTATTTAAAACAACAACAACACAGAGTGGTGGTATTATGAATATTTATTCTCCAATCAACTCATCTGATAGATGATATGTCTCAAACATATCTGAGGGCAGGCAGTAGTTTGCTCACGGAGCTACAGTGGATTTGTATTGTGGCTGTTTGAAATTCAGCTTGCTTATTTGGGCTGACTGCTGCATTAGTGTGCACCTTCAGAGGGTGCCAATGTTTCCAACTGAAATCAGCTTGGATATTGGAGGCCTTTCCTCACTCTTCTCTGCTGTCTCTGTGTGTATGTTTCTGTGTGGTTTTAGGGTCCCTAGAAATGCAAACCAGTCATTAAGGCTTTTACTTATTTACTGAATGAACCAGGGAAATCCCCGGGGCTGTGTAAGAGTCTTTGACCTTGTCACATGTACCAATAAAGTGAACCAAAAGCGTAAAAAGGCTGGCCTGCCTTTTTAAGCCCTCTGAGTGACAAGTGATGTCAGTGATGCAGGCTCCACCCCCCATCCCCCCACCCCGGTGGGGCTGGGGAGAATGTCTTTCTCTCTTTCAGAGGCTGTTACTTGATGGGGATTAGCGGGGTAGGAGGGCAGTGCTCAGCCTCTTTGAAGCGCCAAAATATCGATCGTGGCGTGTGGCATGTCAGATGAATCCAGACATTATCCTACCAGCGATCAGTATGCCAGGAGTGTATTTTAAACTATTTGAAACTCTCTCGTGTCTCTCTTTCTTGAAAAGGTAACTCCAGAGGAAGAAAACTGTGGAATCCTTCACGTACGATATCTGGAGTGTGCACGAGAGGACGTCAAAATGTCAGGAGCTTCGGTCAAGGTGGCTGTCCGGGTCAGGCCCTTTAATTCCCGGGAGATCGGCAAAGAGTCCAAGTGCATCATCCAGATGCAAGGCAACTCGACTAGTAAGTCCAGCACAATCTTCTAATGCCCTTGGTTCTCCTTTCTGTGACTCTTGGTAATCTGATTACTAAGCAAGGTGATGTCATTGAGAATTTTTCATTCAAGGGACTCCTTCCCGCTTGTAGAAAGTCTTGTGACACTCTTTTCCACATGAAAGCAGAAGGCAGCATGTCTTGCCCATGTGGATTTTGCTGACTTGTAGCCTTTTTTCTTCCTGAGGATGAGTTGAAAGCAGTTGCATGTGATTTGGGGATTTCCTCCTGACTGATGGCATTTCATGGTGGTTCCTTGCAGGGGGCAGTCTATTTTTTTTTTTTTAAAGATTCAGAGAATGAGGGTGGGCAGCTGATGACCTGTTACTCCTTTCCCCCAATCTTAGGAAATTTCCCATGTTTAAAATACCATAGTGTTTCCTGGCAACCTCATAGTATATCTGGCAACCTCATAGTATATCTGGCCACCTCATCTTTGTATGCACTTCTGAGGCTGTATCTGCAGTTATCAGCATGGACGTAATGTGTCTCAGTTGTCAAAAAACAGAACTTTTCTCTCTCTTTTTTTAAAGAGGCCCCTTCAGCAATGGAAAAACTTCCGCTGAAACCTCCTGTTGAACTCATTTTACTGGGAATGTTCTGATGTATATCCTTTCGATATACATCTCTGTGACAAAAGCAGATTGAATTAGCAGGTGGCCAGGCCTAAGTCATTTGGACTGTGTAATAACTGTGGGAAAATAGCTTCAGAGAGCCCTGGGTCCAGAGTCTGAGGGCTGACTCTTCTGTTCTCTTAGGTGGGAAACATGCCAGGAATAATGTACAGGGGGAAAAGCCATTTCTGAATGTTCCCATGTGTTTAAAGAAAATCCTTGGAAGTTGAAAATTAACACATCAAGGGGGAAAGCTTCTGTCCCTGTTTGCTGTGTTAGCTTTCTACTCATTGGTTGCTTGTGTACCAGGGGGCGCTGAAAATGGTATTCCATACTTGTAATCGGAAACAGGGATGTTTTCATTATTCTACGTGTCTAAATGTGATTTGAGAGAGAGAGAGATAAAATGTCAAGAGGGAGCCGGCTATATGCAGTTTGTCAAAGGTAAAGTAAAGGTAAAGGTTCCCTTGCTCGAAAGCCAGTCGAATCCGACTCTAGGGTTGCGGTGCTCATCTCCGTTTCAAAGCTGAAGAGCCAGCGCTGTCCAAAGACGTTTCCGTGGTCATGCGGCCGGCATGACTAAACACCAAGGTGCACGGAACGCTGTTACCTTCCCACTGA